TGGTGTGGTATAGTAAGGTGTGGTGTGGTGTGGTGTGGTGTGGTGTGGTATGGTGTGGTATGGTGTGGTATGGTATGGTGTATGGTGTGGTATAGTATGGTGTGGTATGGTGTGGTGTGTGATATGGTATGGTGTAGGATATGGTGCCTTCAGACAGTAATGCATTGGGACATATGTTTGTTTGTAAGACGTTTCATTGGAAGAACTAATTCCCAATTAAAAACGTTACACAGGAATTAATAAAAAGCATTTATAAATTGGTTTTAGCTCCAGTATCAAGCTAAATGACATTAGCTAAGTTGCCAAACATACATTTAAAAAAATTATTCCATTGGTTATGAATTTCCAAACTACGCTGATTTGGTAAATAAAAGAAAAATCATCTGTCTTTGTTTGCCTGTTTAGTTTGCTGACAGTGCAGTAAATCATTGGACATCTTCAGCCAGGATGGATACTCAGATGCAGCCTTTATTTTCGGGGTTTTGTGTTCCGCGTTGGTCGGCCACTTGAGTAGGAGCCCTTGAATTAGGACAACCTTCAGAGCAGGGCACAAGCAGCCGACAAATATGGACTTTGAAGGATGCAGCTCCTTAATTGAGACATCTCAAATCTGCTTTAACCAAACTCTCATTCAACAATGCCAGCTAGTTTTCTGAAAACACACACTGATCTGTTTTTGTTTGTGTGATTTACCAAAGTAGAACAAATGAGTCCATAAAGGTTTAATTCCCTGGGCTGTAACTGTTGGTTAGTAAACAGCATTCACGTTAGACTCTCCAGAATGTCTTAAAACATTTATACGTGCTTCTCAGTTTCCTCACGAGTCTCCAGTAGATTAAATCATAAACATGGGCAAGGCGGGCCACAAAGCAGTCTGAGGCGGGTATGATGTGGACGCAGGTGGGCGATGAAATAATGAACAAGTCATGAAAATAGGCCCATTATTTAAAAAAATAATGGGTCAAAACATTGCCACGTGGTTTGAAGTTTCAAACCAGGAGCAAATTCACCAACTTTCTCACAACTGAGTCACCAGTTTTTCTGCAGCAGTCGCTACCCTGTGAGATACCACCTCAAGGGCATCTTGTTTTCGTCAATAAGG